CCCAGATGGGGGCACTGCCTCAGCCCAGATGGGGGCACTGCCTCAGCCTAGAGAGGGGCACTGCCTCAGCCTAGAGAGGGGCACTGCCTCAGCCCAAAGGGGGGGCACTGCCTCAGCCTAGAGGGGGGCGCTGCCTCAGCCCAGATGGGGGCACTGCCTCAGCCCAGATGGGGGCACTGCCTCAGCCCAGATGGGGGCACTGCCTCAGCCCGAAGTGGGGCGCTGCCTCAGCCTAGATGGGGCGCTGCCTCAGCCTAGAGGGGGGCACTGCCTCAGCCTAGAGGGGGGCACTGCCTCAGCCTAGAGAGGGGCACTGCCTCAGCCTAGAGGGGGGCGCTGCCTCAGCCTAGAGGGGGGCGCTGCCTCAGCCTAGAGGGGGGCGCTGCCTCAGCCTAGAGGGGGGAGCTGCCTCAGCCTGAAGGGGGCGCCAGCAGAGCGTTACGGTTCTGATCAGACTCACCCCCATCCGCTCGGGGCCGCGGCGCCGCTGGGCTCTTAAACGGAGTCTTCATTCATCCACCTGAGGGCGGAGCGGTGCTGGGGGGAGGACAGCCAATCAGGACACTGCTTTGAGTCAGTACTCAGATCGGGGGGGTGAGGACGGAGGGAGGAGGAAGGGGGGGGGGAAGGGAGAGAAGGGAGGAGGTGAATCAGGAGTTAGTCGGATCCGGTGAGACGTCTCATCCAGGTCAGGATTGGTCTAACGCCTGGAGGCTGGGGGCCAATGGGGGCCGATGGGGGACACTGGAGAGCGGATGGGGGACGTCAAGCTGTTGGACTCAAACTGGAAATGGCAGGAAGATTTTCTACAAAAAAAAACAACAAAAAACAAACAGAAATGTTAAAATTCTCCAGAACTAGATCAGAGTTCCGTTTGATCCTCTCAGAACCGGATCAGAACCCAAACTGCTTTTCAATACACTGAGCGTACTGTACCTTTAAGAACCCAGGGCTGTGTCTGAACATTAAAAACCGATCAGCAGCGACTCTCTGGCAGACCCTGGTTCTGGTACCAGAGCAGCTGGACCCAGCAGGAAGTCAGCAGCAGCTGCAGCAGCAGAACCCACAGCGCCTGCTGCAGCAGCAGCAGGAGGTCAGGGGGCCGCCGGCTTCCTGTTCAGGTTCTGAGCCGCACAGAAACTCTCAGGTCTGCCAATCAAACGTTCACGGCGGTTACCATGGAAACCGGCTTCCTGCTCCAGCTGAATACCAGCAATCGGCAGCTCCAGCAGCAGGGGGCGCTGTGGATTCATCACGCTCTTTTCTCTGCTCCTGAACAGATCCGGTTCTCCAGTCTGACCCAGTGGGTTTGATCGGTTCTGCTGAGCTGACTCAGGTTAATAATAAAGCTGCAGATCCAAACTCCTGAACCAGTGGTGGGAACACATGCGCTAACATGCTAGCATCAAATCTAAGCTTTCATTTAGCGCCTTAGCTTTAGCACTCAACTTCCAGTAAACAAGTTTGTCTATAGAAATCCTAAAACATTTACTGGGCTGTTTTATAAACTTTCAGTTAAACTTAAGAATCTGTTTATATTCATGCTCTTATTTTGAAGTACTTCAAGACCATTTACACAGCACTTCCATTTCCTCTGCTCACGTTTTCTCTTTTTCCACCAATAACCTTATTTCAAACAAGAACCACAGGAACAAAGAAACGGAGCGTAGATAAAAGAATAACTGTCTGTAGAACATCAACAGGCCTTCCTGAACCACAAACCGTACAGAGAGGTGGGTAATGGCATTAGCTTTAGCTTCCGCTAAATACCATGTTCATATTAACAGAACTAATGTTTAGGCTTTGTGTTTTAGCACAGCTAGCTCTATATTTAGCAGTGCCCCCCACTATTTTAACTTATGGATTTAAAAAAATATTTACACTGAAAAACTTCAATAATATCTTGTTTCATAGGCAGAATACTCTCTGATTCTAAGGGCGATGCCATCAAATCATACAGAACCATATGTGAGTTTTTGGGGAAAAGAAGGACTGTTTAATTATTTTAACCACCAAATTAATTAATGGCTAAAATCACTAAATGTTGTTTGTCATCAACATTTTAAAAGTTTTTTTCAAAAAAAAAAAACTTGATACAAATGTTTTGTATGTATGTTAAAACAAGCACCAGAGGTTTAAAAGCTACAATTCTGCAGTAAACAGTTATGACCCGAAGTCAGAAAAACAGTTTGTAATTTGTGGATAATTGCAATGAATCACGCAATAAATTATCTTTAATTGTTGCTTTGCATTTTTAGTGGTTAAAATAATTAAATCAGAAACTGTTTTAATCTGTTATTGTTGCTCACCAACAGCCAAAATATTAATGATGTGGAAATGTGTCCTAAAATAAGCCAAACATCAACAACAATCTGGTTATATTTTGACTTAAGAGCAGCGCTGATAATTATTTACTGTCCTGGGGAAAAGTGTGGGAAGTGACAAACATTTCAGCTGCTAATCTCATGTAAATCCGGCCCCCCGGGGTCCATAGAGATTCCGGCCCTGGAAGCGGTGGGACCGGCTCTGCTGGGACTGATAAAAATCAGCAGAAACCCGTCCAGCAGCTGCAGCGCCCCCAGGTGGCCGTTCAGCACCATGAGGAGGACTTGCTGCTTGTTTTGGCTGCTGAGGATGATGAAGATGTCCATCCAGAGGTCACTCAAAGTCTGCTAAAAACACGCAGCAGCAGCGCAAGCCGCCGCACCCACGCACGCGACAAACCCGCAGAAAAACAGCGCACCGCAAACTGCCTCCTCCCGCAGCGCGGCGGCCACGTTGCGCCACTATTTACCAAAACCCGCAGAGGCGCAAGAAAAGGCGCAAGCGAACAAAGGCAGAGTGGGGGGGTGTGGGGTCTGCTGGGGGAGAAAACACGGCGCCGAGCTCGCAGCTTCGTAGAAAACCGTTGGACCGGAACCGCGGCTCCGGGCCCGGTTCCGCTGCAGGCCCCGCGGGCCGCGGGTACTCACCGACACGGCGGTCAGCGCTGCCGCATGATCCCAATCAGCCGCCGAAGCTCCAGATTGATCCGCTCTGCCTCCGTTTGAGGCTCCGCTGCGTCAAGCTGGCTGCGCCAAGATGGAGGGAGGGCGGGAAAGTCTGGCGCCGCCCTTCAAAATAAAAGCCCAGGTGTTAGGAAAACCCAACTGTCCCGTTTTCCTGGGACTTTCCGTCCGCAGGTCTTCTAATGTTAGAACCATTGTCGATAGAAAGATAGTAAATTTCAGTCAAAACACTCAAAAAATCTAGATTAATCTCATAAAATTACTACATGAAAACACGAAAACCTCATAGAAAAAAACTGAAATATTTTTAGATTGATCTCAGAAATGTAGAAAAAACTTGGAAATTTCTGAGCTGGAAAAGTCAAAATTTATTTTAAGTTTATTTTAGTAGTAAACATGTAATTTAACTAGACATTTAAAGTTCCTGAGATTTTTTGGAAGATGTTTATTCCTCCTTTCTGCTGTAGTATGCCGTCATATGTTTCGGTCTAATTTCTGTTTTTAGTTTATTTTTCAGTTAAATTTTATCCTTTTAATCATTCTGACAGTGAATATTCCTAAACTTTAGTTGGATCAGTGTGAAACTCCGAGCTGAAGGTTTCTTCCTGTTACATAAATGCAGGGCTGAAATTAGGGGGGTTCGGTCTGGTCCTGGTTCGCAGCAAGAGAGGAGCGGCTGTAAAGAATCAATGGGTTCACTGTGCAGCAACTAATCAGCCGAGATTGATTAGTTTTTCAAGAACAATCTCCCAGCCAGCATGCCTAGGTGGGACAATATGGGACCCATATATCAGCCCTCCTTTTCCCCACATGGGGCCCACCTAGGCATGCTGGCTGGAACATGACTTAATCAGTTAATAAATAACCTTTTTCCCATTTAATATTGTTTCTGTTGCTGCTTTAGCAGATCAGAGCAGCAACACGTGGATCTCAGTATCAGGAGACAAACTGAGGCTCAGCAGGTCCTCCTCTGATTGGCTTAAAACGTTCACAACTTTATTAAAGAACAAAAAAAATCAATAAAACATGTTCAAATTAATGACCCAACAG